ATAGATGCTTTTTCTTCTAAGTATTGTGTATGCGAAAGAATCTACTAGTACAACCTAGGGTTAGTTGTATACAAACTAGGTTAGTAATATACCCAAACCAAACCTATACCTAGCACGTGCTACCCTACCTATACCTATACCCAGTCACGTGCTACCCTCCCCTACCTATGGTCCGTGCAACCCTACCCTACCTATACCTATGGTCCGTGCGACCCTACCCTACCTATACCTACGTCCGTGCGACCTATACCCTACCTATACCCTACCCTAGGTACATGGTACCCATCCGCCAGTCTACCCTACCCATCCGCCAGCCTAGCCCCACGTTAGCAAGAACTAGGCTGCCAACTTTGTTAATTGTTAGCTAGAGCTTAAAATTAAGTTTAATTATAAGTATAACTATAAGATAGCCCTATATAAGGATCCTAAGGTTATTAGGGACTAGTTCTAGTTAGTAGAGAATACTAAAGCTAAGTATAGTATTTTAGATAAAGACACCTACAACTTTAACAAATCTAGCTTTATAATAAATATTATATCTACAGGAGCTGTTGTTACAGGCTCTAAGTATTAAGGAAGACTAAAGATAGTGTAGCAGGGCAACTAGGAGTAGACTAGTATTATCTAGGGCATTAATGCAAAGGGCTAGTCTATCCCCCCCTTTATTATCTTCTCTAGCAAGCACTACCTCTCTGCCTAGTATAAAGAGCCTAGTGTACCTAACAACTAGGTTCTTCATATCTCTAATAATAGCTAGACTAATAATAAGCTTAGAGTTAAGTAGCTAAAGCACTTTAATAAGCATACAAAGGCGCGCATTGTTAGTAGCTATTAGCTACTTATTCTAGACAGCTATAAGAGCTACAACTTAGTTAAATTCTACTAGTACTGTAAGGAACACAAGATTATTACCTTGTGTATGCCTCTACACATATTAAACCTGCTGCAGCCACTTGATGTAGTAGTCTGGCCAAAGGCCAATAAAGGATATCTACTTCCTAACAACTTTTGCTAAAAAGCATGCACAAGTTAACTAGACGTCTAGTTAACTGCGTAGATAATGTATATCTAGCTTTAGCCAAGCCGGCTAAGCTAATGTAACCGGCTAGCTCTAGCTCTTCTTTAGCTTTAGAGTCTAGACCGTTACACTTGACATAGGCTGTTTTGCCCTATTAAAGAAGGCCTATAGCTGCTAAGCTAAGTAGCAGATGCGCAGCAAGATTACTTACATTACTAAACTTAAGTTCTTGCTGTGCTTTAAAGCAGCTTTTAACGCCTTAATTACAGAGAGCAATATCTAGGGAGGATTTAGAGGTGCTAGCCTAGTCCTACTTAACCTAGAGGCTGTTCTATTAAAGCTTAAAGTACAGCTGCACACGCTAACACCACCTACTATAGACAATAATACGTAGGAGTCTAAAACACTAACTAACACCCTAGAATTTAGGTCTTAATTAAAGCTAATTTAAGAGAGGATTAAAAGACATGCTACTAGCTTGCTAACTTTACTAATTAAAGCTCTTAATTAGCTTACTAAAGGCACAGAGCTAATAGCGCATTTACTAGTTTTAGTGTGTAACTAAGTTACTAACCTACAGGCAGCTAACAAAGCTGCTACATGTTGTAAATTATATAAAAGAAAGTAACGTACTCTATCACCAAGCTAGTTATATCACCAAACTAGTCAAAATCTCTTGGCGCGCCCAACTTATGTTGCAGCAACTTGAATTACTTGCTATTAAATAGTAATCTAGTGTACTGTGTGCTTTTATTAGATTTAGAATCTTCTTCTGTATCTTTCTAACACGTTTAAGCGTTGTGCCCTGTGCCTCTACAGTTTCTATAGCGCTGTTAGGCTAACTAGGTCCTTTCTTAAGTACCTGCACCACGAGTCTTCTTTGATAGCTGAGCTGCTACAGACACCTTAGCAGCTACCTGTGATGCTGCTAGGCCATACTTAAGTGTGCTGCTATGCTGAATTTGCTTTCGCTTGCGCGACTTTCTCCTAGTCATGACTGCTAATTGCTCTTTAAGCTTAGTAATGTGAGCAGCTTATAGCGCGTTTTAGTGCAGTATTAATTTACTACCTTTAATAAGCTAAGAGAAGACAGCCTAGGCTGTAACTAGTAACTAAGTAAAGGAGTTATGTACAAGCTTTAACTAAGACCTAAACTTATGTGTATTGCTTAGAGTCCTTAACTGCCACAGTGTCTCTAGTAGAGGGGGTGCTAGTGGGGTACAGTGTTGCACCTTAAGGCAATCTAACACTACCTATACGTTAGTAGGGACTAGCCCTAATGCCTTAAAGGCCTTCTAATAGTTAGCCTTTGTAAACACGTTAAGAAACGCGTCTCTAAAGGCTGGAAGGAAGCCTTCCTTGTTAATGTGGAAGACGCGTTGGCGTGCTAAGTCCTAGATGCGTTAGGAGTACTTACGCTTTAACAGCGAGAAACAGACCACGTCAAGCAGCTAGAGGATGTGTGATGAGTGAGCTGGCATACAGAGAGAGTAAGGATCTTGTTATCCAGGCAATAGTCCTTAAAATCCTGGTTAAGGTGGCTCTTATGGCTGTCCAAGATAAGTAGCCTGTATCCCCCTACCTGACGCGCTCTTGTATGCGCGTTAAAATGCTTCAACCACTCAAGGCTAAGCGCGTTGTTTGTCCAGCCATTCTCAGAGACAGAGAGCTTCTAATTGTGTAGTATATCTGTCTCCTTGTACCAGGCAGAGATGTGGATGCGTCCTTTGTAGATAATGAAAGGCAGGGTCGCATATCCAGCAGCGCAGATGCTCTGTATAACTGTAACCCACTCCCGATCGCCTGGCTAAACAAGCTCAGGTTAAGCGCGTCTCTTAGCGCCTGTAACAACCTTCATTAACCCTATCACGCCTATCTAGAACCTAGTCTTATTAAAGTTGTGCATGTTATTGTTATAGATGCTATACTTAGCCTTAGTACCCTCTACTAGCATAAACTACGCGTTAATTACCTTAGGATTTTCCTACAGTATCCTCTGTCTGTCCTTTGCTTAGTTAAACACTATCTTAAGCTAATCTAAACATGTTATAAATCTTATAGCCTAGAGTTTACTAACAGGCTCCCTACTACGCACACCTAATAGTTTATTAGCTATATCTACTACCTTACACAGCTAAGGCGCAAATCCTTGCAAATTGAGGTTAAGGATATATTAGACAATTGTCTGCTCTTTAGTTGCAGTGAGCTTCTAGCAGTTTGCGCGTATATTGAGTTAAAATAGAGTATTGCTAGCGCGTTCAGAGAGCCTGCGTTGGTTAACGTTGAATGCAGCAGCAGCAGCCTGATGGCTCTGAAACTGTCCAGTATTGTAGGCCTGGAGAGCAAGCTGCAGTCTCCCTTTGTGTTGAAGCAATAGGTTGTAATGTTGTTAAGACATACTGTAAAGTGCAGAGTTGTGTTGGTCTTGGCAGATTTTGACTGGTTCGGTGATATGACCAGCTTGGTGATAGAGTACGTTACAAGTTTGTTGCCTAGCTTTAGATTATTGATCTCTGCAAGCGCATCTAAAATTCCTGTCATGGTAGTTGAGTTTTTACGCGTTAAAATCTACTGCAAATGTTGTGCCCTGATCGTTGGTTGACTCCGATCGTTGGGTGCACGGACACGGGTATCCAGGCAAGACGCCACCATTGAAACTTCAAGCTCGACATCGCCAAACAATTTTAAACCCATTAAGGGCCCTGAAGTTGTACACACATGCATTCCACATACAGACCTTAGTTCGCAGTATTGTAGGTATGTGATTGTTGGCTTCGTGACACCCACCCTAGAGGTGGCATGAAGCCAACATTGCAATTTCTACGAGTAAGCCGCCTTCCACTGAGTTCCACTTTTTCCGTGTCATTAGTGTTACACAGTGCGGATACCGCTTCACAGCTCGCCCTATTGTCGCCAACACGAGCGTCTGTGAGGCATCAGGCACTTGCATAACCGAAGTTTCCCATCATTCGGTTGACAGGTTGTCTCAGATGTCGATCTTTACTCACGGCAACTTCGTCAATCGGTCGACCGGACGTTGAGTTTTCGCGCTAGGAGTTTGACAGAACTTATCCTGGTAGTATGTCTTCCGTTGAGCTGGAGAAGCGAAGCCGATGGAATGAAAGTTGGAAGGCTTCACATAAATATAACTTGGAGGCCTTCGCAGGTTAGTCATTTTTCGCAAGATCACTTCATCCACAAACGTCATCGACCACAAACCACGGAGTACGATCTGAACACGCGGAGAATCCTGTCTCGAGGAATACAACACGCGTGCCGCATCTTGGCCTACCTCTCCCAGACCGAGAATGACCATCTGTCATGAGGTCTTCAGTACGACTGGGCACGAGACTGAGGCTGCGGTCGCCTCCCTAGCTGGTTATTGATGCCAGCATAGAAGCGCGCATGCATCTCGTGTCATCATGTACGTAATAAAACCCTTGCTCTCCTTCCAATATTGTGGCGTACTTGCCGCCTGCCGGTACATATGGTATGTCAGACTGTCATCGAATACTGGCGTAGGACCGCAGGGTTCGCTCATACGGTTATTGCCTGCTAGATATCATTGCAAAGTGCGACATCTAAACTATCGCCTGCAGCATGCCTTACCGCGCAAAAGCTCCGGTCTTTATTGGCCTGACAGCAGCTGAGATGTGGCGCAAGCATCTCTATCCTATTGAGTTCTCTGCGGCCCACCAGCTACAATGAATGCGGCCCATCCTCTGCCTCGAAGCCAAGTCCAGGAGATGAGATCGCGCACTGAGACTCTCTGACAACTATGTCGTCTCTTGACCTGTTTCGCCTGTTCAAAGATGTCAGCCGCCAGCACCATAAACTCAATTCCGTGGTACAGACCACTACAACGCCACACCCTGACAAGGATCTACACTGAGGTTGGAGTGGCGCTTCCTTCAGACCGCTTGCACCTTGGACTGGATTGGCTCGCACTCAGGGTGTGAAGTCCTGAGAGTCGGCTCCCCTCAAAACCTCCGGGACGCCACTTTCTAACAGCAGGGATATGTAAGCAAACTTAAACCCCTTTCGGCCTACTTGCGGAGATCGTCATAAGCTTTCTTCAACAACCCTCCCGCTGACTGACAGCAGCGTGCTCATCAAATAATCGGGGCAGGGATCTTTTGGACGGTCATGGTGAGGGCAGAAGAGCGGTGTAACCCACCAGCACCATCAATCCCTACAGGCTGCTGCATGCGCGGTCCCCTCTTCCCGCACGGACAACACGCATGTACTGATCACAGCATTTCCCAGCGACAGCTGTAGCGACCGCCATCTCAGCACTACGCCGCGCCTAGTCCTGTCGTCCCATTTCTGTATGCCGGCTTTCTCGGCTTGAACTGCCTAGCTTGGGAAATGTCCAGTTGCGTGCCGAAGGTCTAAGGCAATACTACTACTTATTGACAAAGAGTTTCTCTAGTAGAGGCCGAGTTGCCGCCTGATGCAAGATCGGAGCTTTCCAGTTCGATACCCTTGTGCCGTTCCCTGCGGTACATCGTATTCATGACGAGACGGGCGACTGGTCTCTGGACTCCCACCATGTTGACAGGAAGCTTTGCAACAGGCATGGGTTACATTATTGTCAGCTCTTTACACCCTCTAGCGACGCCATGATAGCCCATTGATCGTCGCGGCATTTTTGTATGCGAAACAGGGCAGGCAACCGCGGGCATGTTATAATTCCCTTGTCCCACCCTAACCACGAGATTGCAAGCCACATCACGTTTTGCTTTCTATTATTTGAGATCGTAGCACTCGCTTCCCAGGTGCTGAAGACACAGTCGTTTGTACCCATACTCTCTTTCAGTATATCCATTAACTTTATAATGCTCTCAACGATCACCAAAGCAACAGCTCTCCTGACACTTTTGCCCTCGGCAACATTGGCACTTCCTGGCACACATCTTGACGTGCCTTGGAAAGAGATTGGTATCTACTCTGGCTCTGTGGCGAAGAATGTTGCAAAGAGGGATCACGGCTATCCAACTGGGTGCAACCATGGACCAGCGGCGAGATCCTGCTGGAAAGACAACTACAATGTCGACACTGACATGGATCTCGAATGGCCCACCACTGGCGTAATCAGAAAGGTTAGTTACTGGACCAATACTCAGGCTATGGAGCTGCATGTGCTGACCCCTCTAGTACCACCTTGAGATCACAAACGTCACAATGGCGCCAGACGGTTTTGAGCGACCTATGTCCGTGTTCAACGGCCAATATCCAGGACCAGTATGTGCCGGAATAAGCTTTGAAAGACTTGAGACTTATCAGTAAACAGACCATCGAGGCAGACTGGGGTGATGAGATTGAAATCGCAGTCACCAGCTATCTCGAGAACAATGGAACCGGTGTGCACTGGCACGGACTACGCCAACTTGGTTCCAACGAGATGGACGGCACCAACGGCATAACTGAATGCCCCATTGTGCCAGGCGGAACCAAAGTTTACCGATTCAAGGCTACGCAATACGGCACCTCGGTGAGTTGGAAACGTCACAAGAACTACAACCCGGACTAAGTGGAATAGTGGTATCATTCGCATTATTCAGTCCAGTATGGTGATGGTCTTGTCGGCCCCATCATAATCCATGGCCCGGCAACAGGCGATTACGATCTCGATCTTGGAGTCCTACCATTCAGTGACTGGTTCCATGCTACCACCTTCACAGTGAATCACGCGACTCTTCATGCAAAGGGTCCGCCAACTGCAGATAATCTGTTGGTGAACGGTTCTATGACGTCAAGCTCTGGAGGCCAGTATGCAGTCACAACCTTGACCCCCGGAAAGACTCACCGACTTCGTCTTGCCAACATGGGCATCAACAACTGGGTGCATGTTGGCATTGACGGCCATCCTTTTACAGTAATTGCAGCAGATTTCGTTCCTGTTGAGCCATTTCAGGCTACTTCTCTTAGCATTGCAGTCGGTAAGTTACCCGACTTCCATTTCCCACGCATGCGCACACGTTCATGCAGCACGCCCCAATTGTAGTTTTCAAAACACACTAGCAACGTTTCACTGACCCGCCATCTGGTGCACAGGACAACGATACGACGTTATCATCAACGCAACCCAGCCTGTTGGTAACTACTGGCTTCGCGTAGGCACAGGTGGACGCTGTGACGGCCCGAACGCGAATGTCGCCAACATCGGTAGCATCATTCATTACGCGAGCGCCGAAGACGCCAACCCCAACTCCACAGCTGCCGCACCTTTACCCGCTGGGTGTTACGATGAGCCCATCGTCCCTTACGTCAAAACGCATGTGCCTCAGCAGGTGCCGGAGGAGTTGAAGCTCTCGTTCACTGACACCGGGGGTTTCAACAGCAGCGATCTTGTCCAGTGGAAGGTCAACGATGTGCCCATGCTAATCGACCTCGACAAGCCGACTCTGCAGACTATATTTGAAGGATTCACTGCCAACCAGACCTGGGGTCGGACTGAAAATGTCATCGAAGTCGGTAACAAGGGCCATGCAGTAAGTTCCATCTGGTCCTCGTGAGACGGCTGGAGCTAATATTTCGTAGTGGCAATATTGGGTCATCCAGCAAGACAACGTTACCACACCCCCTATTCCTCATCCCATTCATCTGCACGGCCACGACTTCTTTGTCTTGGGGCAGCAAGCGAATGCTATATGGAACGGAGATATCTCGACTCTGAACATGGACAACCCGATCCGACGTGACACTGCCACGCTTCCTGCGCTAGGCTATCTCATCCTTGCATTTGAGTCCGACAACCCTGGAGCATGGCTGGTAAGTTTCCCGTGCATTCGGTTCATTGGTATTTTTGCTAATGCGATCTTCTAGATGCATTGCCATGTCCCGTTCCACGTATCTGGAGGTCTTGGCGTCCAGTTTATTGAGAGGAAGTCGGAGATTCTCGCGACCAATAGTAAACTTGGTGCTATGCAACAGGGTTGCGTAGATTGGCAGAAGTACCACGCCGAGCACTGGCCCAATGGTGTTCTTATCGAAGGTGACTCAGGACTATAGTATGCACATGAGACGTGTCCTTTTGCGATTGACATACACCTTTGCGCCGTGTATATGTTACTACCAGAACGCTTTAATATCTACAGATACATAATTATATCCACCAGATTCTTCAATCTGGTTGCGAACATACAAACTCACGATTGTGCGCGAGTTGCCACGTCGTTCCTGAGTTATAATATCGCCGTGAACTGCGAACGGGCAGCCGTGGTGGCTTGATCACACCGTCTCATCCTTGTGAATCCTGCTTTTGCTTTTCTGTATGTCTCATTTACGGGGATATCTACGGCCGCGGACATCACCTTGACGCTGCGTTTCACATCTAAACAACAACCAGCCTGAGGCCATTGGAGGCCAGCAGAAAAAAAGAACGAGATGAATATGAACTTGTAGCTACGAGGCCGCGATCGCCATTTCAAAGTCCATGTCCTCCTCGGATTTGGCTACCGGCTGTGGCTGCGATTCCACGGTGTCTGCACGAGCAATGGCCTTGACTTCAAGTATACGCTTGACCTTAGCTTTGCATTCACATTCATCGGTCTAGCCCTCGGTACATCTTCCCGGTAATCTGTTTGCCATGCCGAGATATAGCTTTCGGCTTTTGGGCTCTAGACAACATCGGGAAAAGTTTTTCCATTGTCGAAATCGGGAAATCGTGGCATTGTACTGTGGGCAACAGTAGGACTGGTAGGCCTACAACAGTCATTCAATGTGCATTCAATGTCCAGCCAATTTTGAGCCAATTTTGAGCCAACGGCTCCAACGGTCCCAATGGCTCCAATAGCCACAATAACTTCTAATCCTGCTAACGTAATCGGCCATTGAGTCGGCCAGGCAATTGAGCCGGTCACCTTATGCAGCCACCCACCTTGACACGCAGATAACTCAACACCACAACGTCGTGCTGTGGCTCACAGTACGTCAAATTAATCCACTCTGTCTACAGTATCTTGCTTACATGTGCGCTTATTGTGCCCAGCCTGACCACACCTCCCACAGCGTCGAGAACCCTCTCTACTACCACCTGTTCGCACCCTCTCCTCACGCCTCTCTGCCTCTGCCTGCACCACCACCTCTCATGCAGCTATTATTTCCTCTGCCTCTTGCTGTGATAGGGTTCCTCCATACTAGATCTACTTCCTTTTACGTGCTTTACGCTCAGAAGCAGCTTTATTTGCTGCTTGAAGCTTAACCATCTCAGCCGCCATAAGCACCTGGGAATGCACCATCATATCAGCTCCCTTTTTAAACTGCTGCACTATCTTAATAATTAAAGCTAGAGATGAACTGTGGTGCTGCCTAATCTGGTCAGATATCAGCGTTGATTGAGCTAATATTTCAGCAGCGTTGCTTGGTGTTCTAGGTTGCTAGGTAGTAGGCCCTAGTAAAGGTGGTGTTGGCGTACGAGGCTTCACTTCAAGCTTTAATAGCACCACCTCTAGGTTGTCTAGAACCAAGCCTGTTGCTTAGAAGCTTGATTAGATATTATTAGATAAAAACGCCTTATTAAACACCTAATTAAAGGCAGCTAAGAATACTTTCTTGTTAATGTAAGTGACATAGCTGTTTGCTAAGACATTAATTTCTGTCTTATATGCTTGTTTCAATGGGGCAAAACAGCCCACATCAAGTGGCTGTAGGATATGGGAGGTGTGAGGAGGCATACAAAGAGTAATAATTTTGTTCTCCTCACACAGATCCTGGAAGGCAAGCGACTTGTGGCTCTCATGGCCATCAATAATTAGCAGCCGGTGGCTACCCACTGTCCGGGCTGTTGTATGCTGGATGAAGTGCTTCAGCCACTCTAGGCCCAGTTCATTTGTTGTCCAGCCATTCTTGCTGACACCAATACGCCAATCCTTTAGGTTGTGATACCAGGCTTGGTCGTGGTTCTTCGCTTTAAAGATGATAAAGGGCGGGATAACCCACCCTATAGCATTAATTGCGGCAATCAACGTCGCCCATTCACAGTTGCTAGGCTGGACTCTAAGTGGCTTAAGACACCTCTCAGACGCTGTCACCACCTTAACAGACCCTCTAACACCTATCTGGAAGCCAGTCTCGTCAAAGTTGTAGGTATCTTGGTCCTAGATGCTATATTTAGCTTTGACGTTGCGCACAAGGTTGAACCAGGGGCTGATAATAGCTAGATCACTGCACAAGACTCTCTGGTGATCGCGCTGTCTGGTTACCTGAGACTTAATCTCAGGCTTCCGGTTTACAAGGTGCCTGGCCCATTTTTCTCCAACCTTACTACCACCATAGGCAGCTAGCAGTTAATTAGCCATTTCACGTACGTAGCTTAGCGTAGGGGCAAAGCCTCGCGCGTCAAGCTTCCTTATGTATTGTATAACCACCTCCTCTTCAGGCTTAGTAAGCCTTGATCTGCTGTGGTGGGAATTGCGTCGTGAGGTGGTTTTGGCGCGTTGGTCTTGGAGGGTTAATTGAGGAACGTTATAGATAGCAGCAGCGCGCTGTTGGCTTATTAACGCGTTAGATTTCATAGCTTAGATAGCAAGGATTATCCTATCCTCACGAGGAAGTAATCTAAGATTAGGTTGTTGAGACATTAGATGAGAGGTGGAATGAGGTGTGATCTTGGCAAAGGTGGCCGGCTCAATTGCCTGGCCGACTCAATGGCCGATTACGTTACAATAGTAGCTCTGCTTTATAAACTATACTTTTATTATATTAATATACTACTAAGTCTCCTCTTTAAAATAAGCTATTAAACAATATTATAGGCCTAGTAATAGAATAGTTATTAAGCGTAGAAGGTTTTAAGCTTGATGTTCCTTGCCAAGACACTAAGTTAAGATTCTTCGCTAGGGCTCTAGCAGCCTGAATGTTAGAAAATATAAGAATATTATTCAAGAATAGTAGGTAAACTAAGAATTTTACGTCTAGGCCTGCCTGTCCTGCAAGCTCCTGTTGCGCTGCTACTGTGTGTGTGTGTGTGTTGTGTGGTCAGCAGGTGCTATGCTGTATGCTGTTGCAGCTGCTACGTTGTGTGCGGGCGCAGCTGCAGCTGCTATGGTGTGCTGTCGCAACTTCAAAACACAAACCTTTAACAAACAAACCTTCAACGCTCTATAACTTGCGTTGTAGTAGGCCTACAACAATAATTTTCGCTCATTTTGAAGCTACAATTTCGCTCTATCTGTATGTGAAATTTCGCAATTTTTGAATATTTAATGCTAGTGCTAGCACCACTGAGGGTAGCCATGCAACGACGTTGCAACGTCGTTTTAAGTTTGTTGAATATGGGCACTCAGCGTTTTGGCCGTTGGCAACGTTGGCGCGAAATTGGGGCCGTTGGGCGCAAATTGGGGCCGTTGGGGCCGTTGAACGGCCGTTGCACGACCATGCCACGACTGTCAGCAACGGCCGGTCTAGGCCGGATTTCGAAAAACTTTTCCCGATGAAGTCTTGAGGCTTAGGAGCATGCAATTTTTCGACGAAAAAATATTAATTTTGCCATCAGGAGAATGGTCCAGCGTGATCAAGGAAAGTGCTTCTATGCAGGTGCTGCAAGCAGTCGCGCCGCTATTCCGGCACTCCATTTAGTAATCGTGCAACACTCTATTGCAAAAATCGCAGGCTGCCTGTTCGTATTTGAACACCCGTCTAATATCAATGGACCCCCCCCCCCCCCCTTGAAGGCAGTTTCGGCGACCTCATCATGCGTGCCCTGCAAGTAGCTTCTTCGTTAATCCTCGCTTCCCGCAGAGCATGGGCCTTGTCGTATTTGTGCCATTGCGCGTGAAAGGCCTCATGCCGTGAATCGTATTGTGCGCGGCGTTGGAAATCCATCAGAATGTCATATGCCTCAATTGCCTGTGCGCCTACAGTCAATGGTCTAGTTGTGGACATTAAGAAGAAAGGAATCCTGGCCAGATGAAGATCTGCAGCATTTTGGGTAGCGTCTTGTACCTTACTGACCGGATAGTATCTCGCCGACATCTTGTAGTATGCAATTCTGACATCAGCTGCGACGGCATACTGGCCGAGCTCTAGATTGCAGTAATGGTCTGAGATTCGTGGCTCAGCTTGCTTGCTAGGCTTTGCTGTTAAAATAAGGCTTCTGGGCGCGATTTGTGGGCGACTGGTATGATGATGATTGCAGGTGCCCGTTCGTTAGAGAAAAGCCCTAGTATAGCTGTTACAGTAAGGACCCCAGATCTAGAGGTAAAGGTAGAAGTCGTGTAGGGTTTGACTTGAAGTAAGAGCAAGGTGCGAGTAGAGCTGACGAGTGGCCATGTAAGTACAGGGCGATGTGAGTGTACGGTTGCACCGAAACAAGCCAGACACAGCATCGGTTCAAGTCGGGCGCTTTCGTAAACAGCCTGTTATTGCCTTTACCCTCCGAGTGGGTGAGCTCGAAATTGACTTCAATTGCTAATATCAACTCCATGCTGTTGCATAGAGTAAGCGTAGTCAAGAACACTCTTCTCCCAAACTTTCAGAACCTCCTCTTTATTCGCACCTTCAAAAACTCGATCAATGGCTTTAGCAAGTTCCATAGCATTCAGCGCTGCCTGGTTGGTAATGGCTGCGGTATGCGTCTAACTATTCTTAGAGACTAAGAGCTTCTAATTGTGGGGTATATCTGTCTCCTTATACTAGGCAGAGATGTGGACGTGTCCTTTGTAGATGATGAAAGGTGGGGTTGCATACCCAGTGGCGCAGATGCTCTGGATAACGGTAACCCACTCGCGATCACCTGGCTGAACAAGCTCTGGCCGAGCACGTCTCTCTAAGCCTGTTACAACCTTTAAAGACAAAGCAACGCCTATCTAGAACCTAGTTTTATTAAAGTTGTGCATGTTGTTATTGCAAACGCTATACTTAACTTAAGTATCCTCTACTAGCTTAAACCACGTGCTAATTATCTTAGGATCTTCCTATAGTATCCTCTGTCTATCCTTGGCTTAATTAAAGGCTATTTTGAGCTTGTCTGAACGCGTCACAAGCCTGCTAGCCCATAGTTTGCCAACAGGCTCTTCACCACGCACACTAAGTATCTTATTAGCTATATCTGCCACCTCACATAGCTAGGGTGCAAATCCTCGTGAATTAAGGTTAAGTATATACTAGATAATTGTCTGCTCCTCTAGTATAGTAAGTTTCTAGCAATTAGCGCGTACGTCTAGTTAAAACGTGATATTGCGAAGGCAATTAGAGACCTACTAATAAGGTATGTTCAACGCTCTAGCAGCGCTGCAGATACTGCAAAATTAGCTAGCATAGAAGGCCTAGATAGTAAGGATAACTCTACCTTCTCTAGTAGTATTCTAAAGTTGTTGTTGTTAAGGCATGTTGTGTTGGGGTAAAAGGTGGTTGTGCTAAGAGAAAGTGGCCAGTTCAGTGATATGGCTGGCTCGGTGATAATCTACGTTAGCTGAGTTATTAACACTACCTAGCAAAGTATACCTATTAATAGGTATGCTCGCTAGGTACCCCCCCTTTTTTAACGTTTTCTAGCCTCTAGCTTGTGCAGTTTAATAGTTATAACAAAACCCTCTACTACAAAAATGTAGAGGTGGTTTTTCTCTTTCTTTTTAGCCCTAGTTTGCTAGAATCCATGTATTATTGATAAGGTTTTGGGGGGTACCCACGAAGGACGTTGGAGTATACCCATTCCGCCAGCCTACTTACAAGGGCTTATTGTAGTAAGAGTTAATTATAATGTCCTATTAACAGCCATAAGAGCCATTGCTTAATAGATTTCTAGGATCACTGCAAGGAGAAGAAGATTATTACCCTCTGTATGCCTCCACACTTATCGCACCTCCTGCAGCTGCTTGACGTTGTCTGTTTCTCGCTATTAAAGCGCGTGTATAGTAATTAGATCTTAGCCTTAGCACGCAATTGCATTAACTATATTAGTAAACAGACCTTCTTACTAGCCTTTAAAGTAGCTTTTAAGAAGGTGTTTACAAGAGAGAATGCTTGCGCAGGGTTTTAAGGCGCTAGATTGTCTCTACATAATCCACAGGCTGTGTTATTGAAGCTAGATGTGCAGCTGCGTACGCAAACTCTACTACAGCAAGTTGACGCTGCTTAGGAGGCAAAAACACCACACAACGCTAAAGAAATAGAGGCGCAATTAACACTAGTTTAAAACAGGATAAAAATCTATTAAGGGTCTCTAGCAAGTTTACTTAATAAGTAGGTGTAGTAGCTAATAAAAGGCGCGTAGTAGATAGCTTATAAGATAGTGTTAATGTGCGCAGAGATAGTGCGCCTTAATACTGCTACTAAAGCAGCAATAAAGTGTAAAAGTTGCAAGAGACGCTACATATAGGCAGAGGAGACATTAACAGTTAGCGAGGTATCAGACTTAATTGCTAAAAGGGAGGGTGGCAGATGTGAGGAGGGTGAGGAGCTGGCGAAGAGGGTGCGCGCAGCTGCAGGAGGTGCGATGAGTGTGGAGGCATACAGAGGGTAATAATCTTCTTCTCCTTGCAGTGATCCTAGAAATCTATTAAGCAATGGCTCTTATGGCTGTTAATAATCAGCAGCCTATACGCTCCTACAGGCCTTGCATGCGTATTAAGGTAATTAAGCTAGGCAAGCACTAGATTATTGTTTGTCTAGCCTGTTAGGCTTACTTAAATAACCTAATTGTGTAGGAGGTCCTTAGTAAACTAGTTAGAGATAAGAACCTTGCTAGCAAAGATAAGGAAGGGTAGGATAACACGCCCTGTTGCGCTAACGCCCTGTATTAACATAGTCTACTTACAATTACTAGGCTAAAGCTTCTTTACTTTCCTAGGTTTCTCTATGCCTGTTATAATAAGTTATAAAGATATCTTGCCTATTAGGAAGCTAGACTTGTTAAAGTTACAACGTGTTTCACAAGCGAGCGCCGCACCCAACCGAGCGCCGCACTCTCGCTGCCAGAACGCCGGCGCAACAACAGCGCGTAATGTCTCAACCACAACAAGCTCCTACACTCTATACTAAAGCTGATGTACAGCTTGCTATATCTAATATCTTAAGAAACTAAATTTAAAGTATCTAACACGCTAAGAAAGTCTACAAAGTGCCTAAATAAATAATCTAACACTAACGCGACAGAACACGCTCTTAACGCGACTGTGAGCTAAATACAAAGCGCCTTACAAAGCTAGAAGAGGAGGCAGTTGTACTACGTATACTTGAGGAATCTGCGTGTGGCCTACCCTCCTTAAAGGCAGACGTACAAGATATAGCAGATAAACTGCTAAGAGAGCGCGGCGCAAAGCCTGTTAGCAAGAACTAGGTTGACAACTTGGTAAAGCGTACACCAGAGCTCCAGAAGCGGTGGACCCGCCCATACAATCGCCAGCGGGCTGCCTGCGAGGACCTAGCAGTTATCCAGCCCTAGTTCACGCTTGTTTAGTCTATAAAGGCAAAGTATAGTATTATAGACAAGGATATATACAACTTTAATAAGTCTAGCTTCCTAATAGGTAAGATCTTGTTATAGCTAGTAGTAACAGGCTTAGAGAAGCCTAGGAAGTAGAAGAAGATCTAACCTAGCAATTGTAAGTAGGTTACCCTAGTATAAGGCGTTAGGTTAATAGGGAAGGTTATCCTACTATTCCTTATCCTTGTAGGCAAGGTTCTTATCTCTAACTAGTTTACTAAGGACCTCCTATAGGACTAGGTTATTAATATTAGTCCTACTAGCTAGACTAATAATAATCTAGTACTTGCCTAGCTCTACTACTTCAATACGCATGCAAAGCTAGTTAGGGTCTACCAGCTACTTATTATTAATAGCTATAAGAGCCACTGCTTAGTGGCTTTCCAAGATCTCTGCAGAGAGAAGAAGATAATCACTCTCTGTATGCCCCTGCACTCGTCGCACCTGTTGCAGCCACTTAACATCGCCTGCTTCTCGCTACTAAAGCGCCTGTATGGCGACAAGGTTTTGGCCTTAGCACGCAGTTGCATCTACTATATTAATAAGGAAACCTTCCTGCTAGCCTTTAAATTAGTGTTTAGTAAGGCGTTCACTAGAGAGAACATTCGCGCAGGCTTTAGAGGTGCTAGGCTAGTCCTACACAACCTAGAGGTGGTGTTATTAAAGCTTAATGTGCGCCTGCGCACGCCAACGCCACTAAAACCTAGCAACGTTGCCTAGGAGCTAAAGACACCATGCACTGCTTACAAAGTAGAGGAGCAGTTAACTCTAATTTAAAAGCAGATTTAAATCTATTAAGGGTCTCTAGCAAGTTTGTTAGATAAGCAGGTTAAATAGTTAGCAAAGGGCGCTTAGCAGATAGCTTATAATATAGTATTAATGCAGGAGGAAATAGGCTGCCTTTAAGATGCTATAGAAGCGTCTATAAAGCGCAAGACCTGTAAGTAATAATATATATATACAGAGGAGACCCTTATAGTTAGTAAAGTAGCTAACTTAATTACTTAAAAGGAGGGTAGGGGTTATAGTAAGGGTAAGATACCTATAAAGAGGGTGCGTGTTAGACAACGCTGTAGGTGTTATAGTAAGATTAGATATAATTCCTACACTTATAAGGTAGAAATAGAGGATATAGATAATAGTAAAGCTTCTAAATAATACTATCTAGGCCTGTAAATAATTATTTATTTGTGTTGTGTTGTGATATAGCGCTGCGCAGGCGTTCTGTTGTTCAAAGTGCGGCGCTCGGTTGGGTGCGGCGCTTGCTTGTGAAACACGTTACATGTTATTGTCTATAATACTATACTTTGCCTTTATGTTCTAAACTAGCGTGAACTAGGGCTTAATAATTGCTAGGTCTTTGTAGAGAGCTTGCTGGTAATTGTATAGACGAGTCTAGCGCGTGCGCAGCTTAGGTGTACGCTTAATAAACCTGTCAACCTAGCATTTACTAACAGGCTCACCACCGCGGTCGCGCAGCAGTCTATCAGCCATATCTTGTACGTGTAGCTTTAAGGGCAGTACTCCACGTAGGTTCTTATTAAGTATACACTGCAGAATTACCTCCTCTTCTAGCTTTGTTAGGCGCTTTAATCTAGGCTTGCAGTTACGTCTAGAGGGCTTCCTGTTATGTTGTTGTTGTATTGTCCTTTAAGGAATACTGTAGACTGCCTTAGCATGTTGCAGGCTTGTAATCTAGTTGCATTTAATATTAGAGAGGGCAAGCTGCACGTTAGCTTTAGTATAGGGCTTGTAAGGTTGTGGTTGTTAAGACATTACGCGTTGAGTGTCGCGCATGCGCTTTGCTGGTG